CTTTCTTCCTTTCTTCCTTTCTTCCTTTCTTCCTTTCTTCCTTTCTTTCTTTCTTTCTTTCTTTCTTTTTTCTTTTTTTCGAGACAAGGTTTCTCTGTATAGCCCTGGCTGTCTTGGAACTCACTCTGTAGACCAGGCTGGCCTCGAACCCAGAAATCCACCTGCCTCTGCCTCCCAAGTGCTGGGATTAAAGGCGTGTATCACCACTGCCCGGCGGTAGGATCTCTTTCTAAGTAGTGGTGGTACACATCTTTAATCTCAGCATTTGGGAGGCAGAGGCTGGTGGATCTCTGAGTTTGAGGTCAGTTTGATCTACAGAGCAAATTTCAGGACAGCCAAGGCTACATAGAGAAACTTTGTCTTGGAAAACCCAAAAAAAGATAGGGACTCTTGTAGCACAGGCTGCCCTTGAATTTGCTGTAAAGATGGAGTTAATCTTGAACCTCTGATCCTCCTATCTCTGGTTCCCAAGGGCTGGGATTAACAGATGTGAAGCATCAAGCTTGGTTATTTACATTATATTCTATTAGATTGCAGCTCCTCTCACCTGTGCTGGCTAGTTTTTTGTCAGCTCGACACAGGAAGAATCATCTGAGAGAAGGGAATCCTAAATGAGAAAATGCCTCCATAAGATTGGGTTGTAGGCTGGTCAGAATTTAAAACAACAACAACAACAACAAAACCCTCTCTACTATAGCGGATTTAAACCTAGTGACTTCAGGTGAAGGGCTCATTCTCTCGCGGTGTCTGTTGGGAGTTGTAGTTTTTGCGATGCTTGCTGGGAATCGTGGTCTGAGCCCGCTTCAGGAAGAGAGCTTGAAGGAACCTGAGGAGAGGAGGGTTTTAGGACCCAGCGGGGCGCGGCGGACTCGGGAAAAGTGTCGGAAGGTCGGGAACGCGCCCGTGATTCCGGAGCAGTGGCGGCGTCGCCGGAGTCGGGAGCGAGCAGGCCTGCGAGCTGCTAGGGTGCTAGAGAAGCCGGGGGCTCGGTAAGCGGCGCGGGCCCGGCCGGGTCCTCGAACCTGGCCCACCTCTGCGGGTCCGCCCTACTAGGCCTGAACCCAGAGGCGGCCCTGGGGGCGGGGCCTGCGTCTGCCGCGGAGACACGGGTGACAGGGCAGAGGGAGGGCTGCGGTTGCTGGGGCTGCCCGCGGCGGGAGGGTCGGGCCTGGGATCTCAGAATGCTCCTCGCTGCCTTCGAACGCCTGCTACCGGCTTGATCCTGCCCCTCAGAGGACCCGCTGAGGCCTCGGGGCGGGCGAGGCGCTGACCTTTGACCCCAGCGCAGGGCTGACCCTGAGCCGGTCAGCTCTTCCAGGAGAGTGCTCCTTGAGAGAGGCCGGTCCCTGTAAAGTGCTCTGATGCCCTGGAAGGGCTGGGTCCTGCGCTCTTCAGTCTTTAGCACCCACTTTTTGCAGAGTTAATAAACCCACTGCGCTTTCACGGGATGAGTAGGTGCAAGCCGGGAAACCCACCCTGGTTTGACGAAGAAAGACAGTCACTGGGGAAGTTGTCCCCGGCGAATGGAACAGCGGCATATTCTAATAAAATGTTGCGGGACTATCCCTAACTCTTCTTTCTAGAGAAAGTTTTAAACTTAAGTGTGTTTTCCTTGCAAAATAGGGCAAGCTTGATGCTGAAACGTGGTTAGTGTTAGAGCCATCATGTGTGGCCCTACAATCACTGGCTGGTTCAGAACTAGCTATGTAGACCAGGCTAACCTCAAACTGTAAAGATCCTTCTGGTTCTCTCTTCCCAAATGCCGTGATTTCAGTGTACTCCACCATGCTAGGTTTGTCTCCTGCCCATGAGTTAGTACAGAGTGACTTGGAATTATTTTTGGCACGTTTTTTGACTGACTGGATGTGTATGTATAGTCATTTCCAAGTGAAGGATTTCAAGATAGTAGATCTAACAAGGGATTTGATAACTCCTCTTAGGATAGTTAAGGGAGTTCACATTCTTAATGAATTAGCAAGCCTTTAATGTGTTCTTATTATGACAGTTATTGCACCTTGTCATGTTTAAAAAAATAGTTTTTTTTTGAGACAGGGTTTCTCTGTGTAGTTTTTGCTGTTAGCTCTCTTTGTAGACCAAGTTGGCCTCGAACTTACAGAGATAACACATTGAGTTCAAGGCAAGCCTAAACAGCTTAGTACTAAAAAACACCAAAAATGAAAACAAACCCTAGATAACTCAGAACTCAACATTTGGGATACCTTGGTGGTTCAGAGGTTTAAGAACACTTACTCTTTCAGAAGACCCAAGTGTGGTTTCCAGCTCCCACACTTTGTAGCTCCTGGCTCACAGCTACCTGTAACTGGCTTCTGTGGGTACCTGCACTTGAACACACACCCACATACAGACACAAACACACACCCACACAAGACACAAACACATATAGCATGGGGTTGGAGAGATGGCTCAGTGGTTAAGAGCACCTACTGTTCTTCCACAGGTTCTGAGTTTAATTCCCAGCAACCACATGGTGGCTCACAACCATCTGTAATGGGATCTGATGTCCTCTTTTGGTGTGTGTGTGTGAAGACACCCGAAGCTACAGTGTACTTATATAAATAAATCTTTAAAAAACAAACAAACAAACAAACAAACAAACAAAAAAACAAACCCATAAAAATGAGGAAAAATAACAACCAAAACCAACCCAGAATTTGGGGTTTCACACAGAACAGTTTAGGAATCCATAAAACTTGGAAAGTATGACCAAATAACAAATCGGTTCAGGATCTATGTGAGGGGTAGCTGTTACTTCAGCATTCATTATTGAGCACTGACTTAGACTGACACTTAGCTCAGGATGTGTGTTTGTTACATACCTGTGTGAAGGCATTTGTCCAGCATGAAGGGAAGATACGTTTGAACTACGTGTTGAAGGTTAAGTAGGAGCTTTCACAATAAGGCATCTGTGTTGGAGAGAACAGCCTTTGCAGAGACATGATGTAAAGTATGAAGGGGGAAAACCAACACGAAATTTATGTGGAGGTCAGAAATTCATCCAAAACAGGATTTATGTTGGGAAATTGTCTAGAAGTGAGATTGAAAGGAGGGCAGGAAGCCACTGAAACTTAAGAAAACCCAAACTATGATTTCATGTGTCTGTATGCTGCTTGTTTGTCTCTGTACCTTATGTATGCCTGGTGTCTACACAGACCAGAAGAGGGCATCAGATCCCTTGTAACTGGAGCTACAAACGACTATGAGAAGCCATGAGAGTACTACGAATTGAGCCCTGGTCCTCCTTTTTAAATTTATTTTATCTATTTAACTCTATTTTTAGAGACGGGGTTTCTCTGTGTAGCCTTGACTGTCCTGGAACTGGGTCTGTAAACCAGGCTGGCTTCAAACTCACAGAGATCCACCTACCTCTGCCTCCTGAGCATTGAGATTAAAGGTGTGTGCTACCACCAACCAGCTGAGGACCCAGTATTCTCTTTTAAATTATTTTTGTCTTTATTTTTCATTTTATGTGTATTGGTGTTTTGCCTGCATGTATGTCTGTATGAGGGCATCCAATCCCCTGGAATGGGAGTTATAGACAGTTGTGAGCTGCCATGTGGGTGTTGGGGATTGAACCTGGGTCTTCTGGAAGAGCAGCCAGTGCTCTTACCAGCTCAGCCATCTCTCTAGCCCCGAAACTGTTCTAGATTGACAGAGTGCATATTAAAACTCTAGGTAATGAAAGACAAGTCTATAGACATTATAGTTGAGGGAGACTTAGAATACTTTGGCTTTGGTAAGGAAGAGAACAGGATGATGTTAGACAGTTCTGAGTAGCTGAGACCTGAGTACGGGGAGAGTGGACTGAGGTTTCAGGCATGAGGTGGGTGGGATTTCAGTTACTAGGATTTGGATATAGTAACTGGGAGTCTGTACTTTAGGACACAGAAAAAGAACATCTGGTGGTGGTTGTTCTGGCATCAAACACAGGGGCTTGTTCTTTGGGCAAATGTTATTTATAACCACAAGGCCTTTTTATCTATCCCAACCTCTAAAAAATGACGTGGAGACTTATATTTATCTAAAATCATGTTAGTCCTCTGGTTGTTCTAGTTCCAAGTAGCACAACTTATATTAATCCATTTATATTATGTCTGCCACATGGCTTGTCACCTATTGGTCTCTAGTACTGGAATTGGGAATGTTCCCACACCCGACTCTTTCCCAGCCTGTCCTCTCCTGCTTCACTATAGGCCACCAGCTTTGTTACTAAAACCAATCAGAAGGTGAGAGAGGGAGTGTTTACAACATATAATGCAGGTGTTGAGCAGTTGGAATGACAATACCAAAGTCCTGCCTATAATCAGATCTCTGCCCCTTACAGAAGTCAGTATCTGAGTAATGCAAAGACAGTCTTTATACAGTGCACAAACTATTTTATATTCTTGAGCAGAGCTAACCTTTGAAGGTTAGGTGGTTATGGAAAGAAATTATTTGGAACTCTCTGGTGCATTGAGGTCAAGTTGCTTGTGGGATATTCAAGGGTAGGTGTCCGCAGGTAGCTGGAACGAAGGAGGTCCTGTGAGCGGAATAGGCTGGCAGTAGATGTGAGTGAGGAAGGGCTATGTGAGAAACAATAAGGACGGGGAAATATTGTTTATTAGGAAGTGTCAGTACGTGTAGCTTTTTTTGTTTCGTGTTTTTGAGACAGGATCTTACTGTGTAGCCATGGTGGCCTGCAACTCACTATATAGGTCAGACTGATCTAGAACTCACAGAAATCCTCCTGCTTCTACCTTCCAAGTGCCAGGTGTAAACGTGTAGCTTTTCTACCTAATGGTGGGTTCTCAAGGCAGAGATCATAGTTTTGTAATCTTTTGCTATCCTTTGTCTTATACTGTGCTTGTACTAGTATAAAGTCTATCGTTTTTAGAGACATACGTTCTCGGTGTAGCCCTGGCTGTTGTAGGACTCATACTGTAGACCAGGCTGGCCTCAAATTTAGAGATGCACCTGCTTCTGTCTCTGAGTGCTGAGGTTAAAGGGCTGTGCAACCATCACCCAACTCGTTTATTTACTTTTATAAGACTGGCCTAGAACTAGCTTAATGAGCCTTGGGTTCCACCTGTCTCTGCCTTTCTCAGTGTAGGGATTATAAGTGTGTGTCACTATGCCAGTTTTTTTGTTGTTTCTAATGTGTAGGTTCTGGATGTCTAACTTAGGGCCTTTTGCAAGGCACACACTTGGCCATCAGAGCTATTCTTATAGACCCTCTTCTTTAAGTTTATTGTCTTTATTTATTTTTGTGTGTATTTATTCGTGTGTTAATGGAGGCCAGAAGAAGATGTTGGGTGTCCTATCAGTCTGCCCTATTCCCTTGAGACAGGGTCTTTCACTGAATCTGGAGCTAGATTTGTAGCCAGCAAGCCCCAGTGATCCTTCTGACTTTGTCCTTGGTGGGTTAGAGATATGTGTGTAGCCTTACCCAGCTTTTTATGTGAGCGTTGGGGATTGGAACTCAAATTCTCATGTCTGCTGAGCCATCTCTCCAGCTACCTCTACCTTTTAAAATTTTGTTTGTTTTTTGAAGCAGGGTCTCATGACCTGGATTGATGGTCAACTTTGTTATATGAGGATATAAACCCTGGACTTTCTTTTTTAAATTTATGTATATGTATGTGTGTCTGTGTATGTGCCCAAGGAGGTGAGGGAGGTGTCAGCTCCCTGATGCTGGAGCTCCAGGCTGTCGTGCTGCCTGATATGGGGGCAGGGAGTTAAATTTGTCCTGCAAGAACAATGTGCTCTTAATACTGAGCCATTTCTCCAGCCCTAGACCTTGAGATTCTGATCCTCACGTCTCTTCCTCTGTAGTGAACCACCGATTCCACTGAGATAGGGTATATCTTTCTGTAGCACTGGCTGTCCTGGAACCTGGACCCGTGACTGGCCTCGACCTCAAAGAGGTCTGAATTAAAGGCTTGTGCTACTATGGCTGGGCCTTTATAAGATCTGAGTGATAGAACTCAGTTGT